AATGAAACGCCATTTTAATCTAGTATTTGGATAACTCATAGCTTAAAGCTAGGGAAAAAGGTGACCAATAAATAAAAAAAAAAATGAATTTAAGGTAATAATAACAATTTGTATTGTACATAATAATAATAATAATTGCGAAACTCAGGTCGGCCCACGAGGTTCTGCGTGACACCGACGGTGTTTAAAATAGAATAATATGCCAATAACAAGTAGCTAACCATAGGGTTACCGCCCGAGCTGTCGCGTATAACAAAATATTCATAATAAGAGAAAGAAAGAGAGGAAAATATTACGACAACCAAATTTTAGAGGGGTATGGGGGGGAAAAGAAATGATACATTACAAAATCATGAGGTTGACTGTTGAGGTGTTTGTTGACGTTCCGAAGATATGGGTAGGCTGACAAAAACTGTCACCGGCTCGCACGTGGCCGGCATGGCCCACCTGGTCGTCGGAAACGTAGATCCACATTGTGGAGTGGAAACCCATCTCGGTCCGTGTCATATGGCCACCACGGCCCATTGGCGTTGCTCAGCCCATCATGATGAGGTTTCAACCACGGTTTAATACAGAAAAAGAAAAAACACAATGGTTGCCGTTGAAAATCGTGGGTGTACGCGTGTGAGTGGTATACGACAAGGAGTCCGAGAGACGTGGACACGTGGTATACAGCAAAGAGTCTTGCAAGTTCAGCGGTCTCGGTGTAAAAAAAAAAAAGAACGATGAGGCGTCAGCGGTCGTCTTCGGCCGTTGGGCCCTGGTCGTCTTCGTGGTATTGGTGGGGAAAGTCAGTGTCGCATGATCAGGGGAAAGTTACATTAATTAGGGAATGACAAACTGCCCTGTCGGCGCGCACCAACGGACGAATACAGAATTTGTTATAAATTTTATAATCAATTGATATTGCTGTATAAATCTAATAAAATAATCGAGGATGGTATATGTTTAAAAGAAGCAGATTTTAAAGAAGCTATTAACTTTTTTCCTAGAGAAAAATACTTAAAACAGACACAACTTAACGGTTACAAGTATACAGCATAATTAAACATTATATTAATTTAATTTCTTATAAATGGGAAATATATATTGTGTTAAATGTAAACAAAAAACAGATAATATGAATCCACATATAATTATGAGTAAAAATAATTTTAAAAGATTGTCTGCAAAATGTAAAAAATGTAATTCTTTAAAAAGTTGTTTTATTAAAACATAATAATATATAATTATTATTAGATTGTTATTAAATTGTAATATTATAATATAATATAATATAGTATAATATGTGTTCTTAAATGTACCTTTTTCCATTGAATCACCATCAAGTACCCATGGCCTGATGGTAATAATAATAATAATACGGAGCTAGACTAATTATTTTTCAAACATCGAAAATTTAAATAGAATACCTATAATACTGACGAAGTATTATATATTTATATATTAAAGTACCTATACAGTGTTGTATAATAATAATAATAATAATATTGTATATATATATATCAACGTTGGGCTGATTATTATTTTAACATCCGGTGTTGAATATCTTATCATAATATATATGTATAGTTTATTTTATGATGTTTTTTTTATCGAATTTATTTAAATAGTGTTTAAATAATCATTATACATGCCCAAGTGTTGTAGCTCAGTGGGTTAATGTGTTTGATTTAAATGCCTTCTTGGTCAGATTGAAACTAGTGGGAGAATGTGTGGCGCCCATATTCACCTACTAATTTCATCAGGCTTTCAAGACGTTTACGGTAAATTGTATAAGTGGGTGCACACACCTATGCAATCTACTGAAAAACTGTCGTTGATCTGCCGAATAAAGCACTTGGGTAACTTCACTGCCCACGATAGCTTTGCAGATATTTGTAAAATAGTTCCGGCCTCCTTTTTCCTAACGGGTATCTGAAAAGCTGCTAATGATTTTGTAGATTTTTTGCATTTTTTTCCGTTTTTTCTATCAAAATTATTAAAAATAATACGGTCGTATATATCCTATATTTCATTTAATATTTGATATTATCAAGTCGGAACAACACAGATATGTTTTATATGCTTATCTACACTACATATTAAAAGTTTACCCCCCGCTTCATATTTTTCATTTAAGTATAACTCCGTTGCTATTTATGTTAGAATCTTCATTTTTACATTAAACATTTTTGATTTTAATTCTTTATAAGTCCCCCTCAAAGTATCATAGTGTAAAATCGTTTTCAAAGATTTTTGGATTTTAATAACGCTCGCCCGAATTAGACACGTGTCAATGTTGTCACTAAAACCCATAAATTCTAATAAATTCTCAGTTATTAAAATTTCTTACATTTTTGATATTTAAAATCAATTTTTGATCGTGATCGGTTTTTCCGGTCACGATATTCATATTCGTTTAAAACTGAAATTTAAGTGATTTTGTGACAATAAAATCGTGGTCTGTTTTTCCGACCACGATAATTAAAAACTGAAATTTATAACTGAGAATTTATTGGAATTTATGGGTTTTTATACAAAACCTGACGTACCCCTAATTTCAGGGGAACGTAAGATTAAATTAAATTTTTTATAATTTTAACATATTTGTTTAGATTTTTGTAATAATTTATTGGAATTTATGGGATTTGGTGACAATAATAACGCGTCCGTAATTTACAATTTAAATTCTAACATGGTCATTAATATCTTTATTGTGTATTTCCATACACCCTGAAATACCATAGTGTATTAGTGTATAAAGGTTAAAATATAACATGGTCTGATTATTCGACCGTGTTATATTTTATACAAAATATGTGAAATATCGATGTAATTGTATACAAATTGTATACAAAAAAAGCACTGAAATTTGGATGTAAAAGTGTTAAAATACATAAATTTATAGAATTTTTAAAAAATTTTGATATTTTGTGATATTAGTGACGCGTGCGTAAATTACGCACATGTTAAAAATAGATATAAAATGCATACATTTTTAAAAAATAATGATATTGAATTTGAACTAATAGTTTAAATTATTTGTAATTTAAACAGATTTGTTTAGACTATTTGTAATTTTTAACAGGAAAATATAAGGTCGGTTTTTTTAAATTTTTTTTCAATGTTATTTTAGATGTTTTTTAATGTTTTTTGTGGTTTTTATCCTTTTATTATGTGGTTTATGCTTTTTTTTTAATGTTTTTTATTAATTTTTTTAAGATTTTTTAAGGTGTTTTTTTTTTAATATAAAAAGTGTGCTATACGTACCCCCTTACTACTATGTTTTTATTAGGCATTTATTAAACTGCTGACCTTCATAAATTCTATATTTCTTTAGATACCTACCTATATTGGATATTAACGAATAATGAATTTTCTTTTAAATTTAGTTTATCATACATAACTTAATAGCTCAATCATTGTAGTATAATAAAATTTATTAAATGACGACAATAATGTATCGTTTTATTAGTGAATATTGATTCTTACATATCAAAATTGTACACAGTTCAAATGTATTCACATTTATTAATACAAAATTAAGTTTTAAAATGGATAGTCTTTCAGAAATAATGAATTTGCTTTAAAATGTATTTTACATTCCTTTTGAATTTGAATATACTAAAATGTACTAAATGGTTCAACAATTATTTGTCTTTATATCCTTTCTTATGAAAATTGTACACATTTTAAATCTATATTTATTTATTAAAATTAAGTTTTAAAATTGCCCTAAATCCAGACTGAAAATGCTTCTAAAAAAATATTCAATCCCGGTTTAAAACCAGTAAAACCTAACCTTATTTACCACTCAGCATATATTACTATAATTTTTACTGGTGCAATTGACATATTTAAAATACTTGATAATTATGTTTGATGTCATGGTTAGGACTTTGATGTTGTTATAATTAATTAATAAGGTTTCTACTTATTAGAACAAAAACAAATTTCATAAAAATGTAGTTTAAAAATTAAATTGTGATATACATATTTTACCAACGTTGTGTAAATATTGTGTGACTTCCATGTGATGATCCATGCTACAGATGCTAAACCCTCCTATGGGCCTATCATTTTTTTTTTTTTGCTGAATCATCACGTCGTCACATACGACGTGATGATTTTCATTGGGAAACGCATAATGACATGGCTAAAAAAAAGTTAGAGCCCATTTGATTATTTATACAAAAGCATAAATCTGATATTAATCGTAATTTATTTTATTTGTACCTATACATTTTTTTAATTAACCAACAGTTTACTTTTTATAAATTTTTTTTGATTGTCAGATTTTATATATTTTGATTATTCAAGTATAAAGCTGTAATTTATTTATAATTTTTTTTTTATAATATCAGCCGAAGAATATCAGTGATTTCCTTTTTATTTAATATTTTTTATCAACAGTTTTTAAGAATTTTATCTGTAAAAAATTATATTTCTTTTACTACGTTGTTGTATTTTTTTTTTTTTTTTTTTTTGTAATATCAACAATTTATTTTTTATTTTATTTTTTTTCAATGATTGCAAATATTGTCTTAAAATATTCATTTTATCCGTTTTATTATTTTTTATTTAATGTAATATTGTTTTTAATTTCTTTACAAAAAAAAAAAAATGTTAAAGATTTATTATTTTACACTTACAGTAAATGATAATACTTTATTAAATAAATTTCCATAATATTTACTCATTCAACTTGAATCAAATATATCAACAGATTTTGAAGCATGGAAGCATGATATGGAACAAAAAACCGTATCTATACTCTATTCAGTTTAAGTTGACCCACTCGTCAGACGAAAACTGGTCGCAGCCGCGCAGGCCTGTCCGTCTTTGGATCGCTAGTAGTGATCGTCGCCAATAGCAGCTACCTACTACGACGAGCACTGCCGATCGCCGAACACCGCCGACCAATCACAAACCGCCGGTGGCCTACTCGGGAGGTCTGAATGTTCCGGCGGTTCAGTATGCATGCGCTTAAGTGGGTCAACTTAAACTGAATAGAGTATATGTATGTACTCGATAGTGCTGAAAGAGATTTGATAGATGGTAGTACTAAAAAACATCTCTTTTGTCATCGTTCATGGAATTATCGTAAGAAAGGAAAGGATTTAAGAGTGATCAAATCTCTGGGGACAAATAAAATAAATATCACATATTACGACTTCAATATCACATATTCTACAAAACGACACAAAGATGATGCTGTTAGCGTGTCGTTATGGGTTGATGAAATGGGAAATCTTGGGTCATCATAAAAAAATTATTATTAAAATTACTTATTATATGAAAGTTCAGTAACAACCTTCAAGTAATATGTGGACTATTAATTTTAAAAAATTATGAAATAAATAGTAAAATAATAAATTAAATAAATGAAAATGAATTAATCAATCAATTAATAATACAATTGTTATCATAATATATAAACAGGATATACCTAATATTATGAATAAACAATATTCTTTAAAATTATTTTTGATTAATTTTATATTAATTTTTTTTTGATCATTTTGTTTTAATAGGTAAATTACAAGGGGTTACGTGGGACCATATTTTAGATGGTATTCGTGATGGAACAGTTTCCGAGACACAACAAAGGTTGCTACTCCTTGAGCGTCAAGATTTATGTAACGTTTCACGCGACTTCAATATCACATATTCTACAAAACGACACAAAGATGATGCTGTTAGCATGTCGTTATGGGTTGATGAAATGAGAAATCATGGGGAAGATTCCCCGATAATTTATTATAAAGCACAAGATGTTAATGATGATGATAATTCTTCTTTAGAAGTAAAAGACTTTGCCCTTATTATAATGAGTAAATTCCAGGCTCAGCAAATTATGAAATTTGGTCCAGATAAAATATGCATTGATGGTACGCATGGCACTAATTCATATGATTTTCAACTTCATACGCTCATGACTGTAGATGAATATGGAACATTATGCCCTGTTGCATACTGCTTTTCCAATCGAGCTGATGAGATGATTTTTAAATTATTCTTCAGCCAAATTAAATCAAAGTGGGGAGTTATTGAACCTCAAGTTTTCATGTCTGATGATGCACCTGCGTATTACAATGCTTGGAGTATCGTCATGGAAGATGTTCCACACAGACCTCGGTGTACATGGCATGTAGATCGAAATTGGAGGAAAAATTTGTATAAGATTAAAGGTGGGCCGGAGAAAAAATCCCTTTTATATAAGACCTTGCGAGTTTTATCGCAAATAACATGAATTGATGAATTTAAAGCATGTCAAGATCAAGTTATAAATGACTTGTTAAAGGATGAAGATACTAATGCATTTGGAGTATATTTCAAAGAGAATTACTCAAAACGATCTGAGGTTTGGGCTTACTGCTATAGATTAAGAAAAGGTATCAACACAAATATGTATCTTGAAGCTTTTCATAAAGTTTTAAAACATATTTATTTAGAAGGTAAGAAATGTCAACGGTTGGATAAGACAATAAATGCTGTTATGAAGATAAATAGAGACATGATCTTTAAAAGATTAATTAAAATATCAAAAAATTTTATGACATCTAATGAGAAAAAAATGTGTGAAAGTCATACACGAGGTGAATCAATTACACCAAGTTTAATTCGAGTTCTTGAAAATAAAAAATCATGGATTGTTAATTCAGTATCGGATAAATCTCAAGAATATTATGTTGCTAAAGTTGGAGAAATGTGTAAGAGTTCTTGCTTGAAATGTCCAGTATGTAGAATTTGTGTACATACTTTCACATGTACTTGCACAGATAGTATTATAAAAATAATATTTGTAAACACATACATGCTTGCGCACTAGAATTTTATAAAGCTGTTAACGATATATGCAATGATAATATTAATAATAATAATGATAACACTAATGTTAATAATAAAAAGAATGACAATAAAATGCATTTAGAAAATAAAATTAGAGAATAGAAAGAAAATTTACGGTAATTTATACAAGTGTCTCAAGAATACAAACCAGATACAAATGGAAACATTATTTTCAAAGCAGGACTCATTCAAAGACTGTGTGTTACTAGACAGATAAGTAATGAAGATGCAAATTTGGTTGAAAAGAAAATGGATGATATTTTAAAAATTTTGAATAAAACTGATGGAATCCATTTTAAGACTGAAGAAAAAGTAAATGTTAGAAAAAATATTGATCCTCAACTCAGATTTTATTCAACAAAAAAAAGAAGAATTGAAAAAATCAACTCCAGAAGCCTTCACTCCGTGAAGTAAATGCAATCCGAGAAGGGCTCAATGACGAAAATCATGCTGTTAACATTCATGGCGTATTTTATCATACCTACATATGATCAACAATAAAATTTTGGTCAATTACCAAGTACAATTATTTTAGTTTTACGGCAATAATTAATAAATAATGAGGTACCTATTATAATTAAACTGATTTTAATTTGATGAGATTTGAGCTGTAAAATTCAAATGGACTATCTTTAATTAAACATAATAAATAAGTACATATATGATAACTATGGCAACTATTAATAAATAAAAATAAAATTTCCTAATTTCCTATTTCCATCGTGAACCTCAATGTCCCTGTTTGAGCAGCTATTTAAAATGCGAGTTCCGAAAAATCCTTTCTTAGTGCGCCTATACATAGTAATAGGTACATTTCCTGAAAATTTCATATCCATAGCTTCAGCAGTTCCGGCTAGGCGATGATGAATCACCCAGGTTCCAGGACAAGTCTTTTTATATACATATACAGATATTAATTTATAGTATATACATAGTCTGGCACTTACTTAAAAATATTTAAGAACATAATATTAGAAAGTCATATAATTAATGTATATTAATATTAATTAATTAGTTATATATTAATATAACTTAAAATGCATTTCTAAACTAAAACTTACTAAAATATACTAATAGTTAACCATAATAATGATAATGATATTATGATATGAGATATGACTGCGCGCCGATGCACGCTGATAATCTCAACTCCCAGCGCATGCGCAGTAACGCGCCAGCCAACCGCATGTCCGCATTCACTGGCGTGAAGCACTGGTGAATCATAATACCACCTAGCGCTACCTAGTGAATTACTATAGAAACAACGGTGTTACGGTGAAAGATGAATATTGGTGAATGTCGTCATTATCCGGTGAATGACGTCTATTACCAAAATGATTTGATTATGTAGGTAAATGGTGTAAAAAACCAGATTTTAAATTCAAATGTACATCTTTCACCGGCCATTGATGTCATTTACGAAAACTGGTGGTAAATTATGATAAGTCTCAAATAATACATTGATTTTTTTACCATAGGTACAACTTATAATAATGATTTATTGTTGGTGGGTAATTCATTTTTTATTTTAGGTATTTATTTGAATGGGATAATAAGTTAATTAAAAATAATAAAATATGTACATATTATAAATTATTTATTTGTACAATTTTGGTTACCATGACATTTTGAACTGCACAACATTTCTGCTGCATTGCAAGCACATTTTTTAGTTCCACAACCAGTTTTACAGTTGCATCGATTAAATCCTTGATGACCAGCTATTCCATGTCCTGCGGCTTCTCTTAATGTTATTTCCCTGTCTTTAATTTTTTTCATGGCTTCATCTAGCTCTAGAAATTTTTCTTTACATGGAGAAATTTGTGCTCGTGTATATTTGATTTTCAACACCCCATATTCTGTACCTGATTCAAACATTCGGATATTTATTTCATTTTAAATTAAATAAACATTATCAAATTAAAAATTGGCTTACATAATTTATACATGTTATCTTCGCATGAAATAATAACAGCAAGTAAATTACGCGGAGAACCTCTTGCTCTATCGACATCTGGTATTGGGACACGAACAGTTGTACTGACATCAAGCTTAGAAAATTTTTCGTTAGTTAATCTCAACATTTTTGACGCTTGTTTTTCGAGACAGACAACCGATTTTTGTCGTTGGTCTTTAATTTTTTCAATTCTTTTACTTGTAAATAGATGACGATTGCTATTTTTTAACCTATTATATTTAAATAAAAAAAATTTACATTTTATTATTATACAATTTTTATTAACTTTATATAGCTCGGATTTTTATGCACTAAAAACTATCGAAATATTCCATATAATATGCAGTAAAAATCATGAAAATATGCAAGAATTTATTTTTATTTTTTTTAAATTTACAAATTAAGTAATAATAAAAAATAAATAATGATTTATTATTTTATACATTATTTTTTTAAACTTTTGGTTTAATATGCAATGCAAATCAAATTTTGTAAAAATACACAACAACCATTAAATTTGCAGAAATATGCAAGCATTTTTACCAAATTACATATAATAAATATTAAATAATCACCTATGTCTTTAGTATCAGTCTCCGTATTAGTTTCAGTCTCCAAGTTTACTTCATTGTCAAGATCTCCAACATTGACCAAATCATCTTCTACTGCATTAATATGATCTGAATGGTTGCTGTTAGTAGAATATATATGCCGATCCTGACACCGCACCCGCACACCATTATCCTTGCTGATCCCGCAACCCGCAACCCGCATCCCATTATCCTTGCTGATCCGCACCCGCATCCTCATCCCGCTGATCGCGTTCGTGCGTTACTTATATTATTGTTATCACTGTTATTATATTATTTCCGTTATCGTATTTTATCACATGTTACGCCGCCGCCCGAAAATAAGTTGAAAATTTTTTCCCGGACCGCGATTCGAACCCGAGTCCGTTGGTTCGGCAAGCGATCACCGTACCACTGCGCCACCCCATCACATATACTTTATATTAATAACTTGCCCTATTTAACAGGTACGTATTACTTACTTTACATAAAACTGCAAAAGAAACATTTGTAGGTGCTAATAGCTTGCAGCTGCGAGTATTGCCATTAGTAAATAGACATCCGTTCGCACGCTCGCCAAACAATCAATAAATGACCATTATACCTATAGTATATCGAATAGAAGATACCAATTAATGAAAAAACATTAACCCTAATAGCCTAATTATTGTCATAGCCAGGATGTCTTAATAGCCACCTATCACGTTTGCAGCCATCTTAACATTAGGCCACAATGGCGCTTCCATCGTATATTTCCTGCCATTAGATATTATTCGTATTCAATATTTGTACACACACACAAGGAAACATTATAAAATAATCAATAAATGACCATTATACCTATCGTATATCGAATAGAAGATACCAATTAATGAAAAATACATTAACC